AATCTTGTGTTGAGGTATAATGGTCCCGAAGTTGTCATGACTGAGGTGGTTCCATCTATCCGGGCTCAATCTGTAACGAACTTGGTTCCATTATCCTGGTCACGATCTGACACCAGGACGATCTTATCCCAAGGTGACCTTAGTTCGGGGCACTAGAGTACCCGAGCATGCTTTGTAGTGAGCTGACTTATGCTGAGCTGTCACCTATGTTGAGTCACGTCCACGTGTCGATCTGGTCACGTCGAGTTGTCGCTAATGCGGAGTCATGTCCACGTGTCTCCCTGTCATGAGGCCAAATTCTCCTTCATCAACATTGTTGTGACAGGTGATGATATCACAGGTATCTCTCAGTTAAAGTCATTCCTTGCTTTTGAATTTGAGATTAAGGACCTTGGTGAATTCCGATACTTTCTTGGCATTGAATTTGCACGATCCAAGAAGGGGATTTTTCTGTCACAAAGGAAATATGTAATTGATTTGCTTCGTGAGGTTGGGAAATTAGGGTGTAAGCCTGTAGAAACTCCAATTGATCCCATCCACATGTTGAACTCTATTGAAGAAGAAATTCTTCTAGATAGGGGGGTATATCAAAGATTGGTGGGATGCCTTTTATCTCTTTGTTTGACTAGACCTAATATTTCCTATGTTGTTGGAATGGTTAGCCAATATATGCATGAACCTAGGACATATCATATGTAGGCAATTAATAGAATTTTAGCTTGCCTGAAAGGATGCCTTGGCAAGGGATGTTGTATTCCAACCACGGCTATTTAAAGATTGAGGCTTACACAGATGCTGATTGGGCAAGGTCCATCGATGATAGAAGATCTACATCTGGTTACTGTGCCTCGGTTGGAGGCAATTGTGGTTTTCTGGAGAAGTAAGAAACAATCTGTGCTTGCTCGTTCTAGTGCTGAGGCAAAGTATAGGGTAATGACTCATGAAGTGTTTGAACTACTCTGGTTGAAGACCTTATTGACTAAGATGGGCATCCAAGCAAATGTTCCAATGGGAATATACTGTGACAATCAAGTAACCATAAATATTGCTCACAATCCTATCCAACATGATCGTACAAAGCATATTGAGGTGGATAGACACTTTATTAAAGAAAGAATTGCTAGCGGAGAGATTTACCTTCCTTTTGTAAGGTCAGAAGACCAATTGGCTGATTGCCTCACTAAAGGTGTTCAGCATCCAAAGTTTTATAAGAACCTTGCCAAGCTTGAGTGGGAGTGTTGAGAATGGTTAGACAGGGGTGTTTTTGGTTTTTTCTCCTTTCTTATACTCTCTCAGTATTTGGGCACCCAGATAAGGGTCTTCTTGTAATTATTATTTTCTCAAGTTACAAAGTAATCTTTTAAGGGTGTAAAGAGTGAATAACACACACCTCTCGACACTTGCTCTCTTCTTCCTCTTCTTCCTCTTCTTCTTCTTCTCTTCTCTTCTCTTCTTCCTCTTTCTTGAAACCCTAGTTTCTACAACTAATGTAATTAGCAACCGCATCTTAACTGTACTGTCCAAGTTAACTAGGTCCAGAGTTAAAAAAGGAGCAAGCACAACAAATAATGCTGTGGATCTTGTGGTCGGTTGAATAGGTGTCTTAAAACAAAAACAGAGAGTTTGAAGAAAAGCCTAGTGGTCCTTACGGTTGGGTTGGTTGATGTATTTATAAATAACTCATGTAGGGTTTGTAATTTACAAGGAGTCTAGGTCTACAAAGATATAAGTGATAAGAAGGTACATAACAAGTAGGAGGAGTGTGCTGCGGTGTAGATAAGTGTCATAGTAGCTGAGTGGACTTATACTCGTTTATATATATATATATATATATATATATATTGGTAGATTCCCATTATCCATACGCTACTATTGTATGGATCTGTTTGAAAAGAGAGATGAGAACATGATTAGAGTTGAATGCACGTATATGGAAAGAACTCCGGCAGAGTTTTCATTCCAAGTTGAGCATGGCTTATTACGTGCTAGTGTACCGTGGAATGCTCGTCTCCATTCCGACCATATGTTCCAACTAATCACAATTAGATCTATTCATGGGCCGGGCTGGGCTGGGCTTGGGCCGGGCTTTTATTGCGTATTAACAAATTTTTCTAAGGACCGAGCCTGAGCCCGGCCCGACCATCAGGTCTACAACTTGGGCCCGAGCCCGACTCTCATAAAAAGCATGAAGCCCGAGCCTGGGCCTGGGCCCGAAATTTAGCCTATACTATTACTATTATTAATGTTGAAGCGGCTGAATAAAGAGAGAGAGATTGAAATTATAAAGAAAAGAATAATATATATATATATATTAAATTATAAATATATATTTTAATAAATATTATATTATTTATATATTTTTTATAATATATAAAATACATATTATATATTTTATAAAATATATAATACTGAGTCGGGCCGGGCCAGGCTCGGTCTGGGCTTTTTTGACAAATCTCGAGCCCGATCCAAAACACAATCGAGCTTACTGTGTTAGGCTCGAGGTCAGGCCCGCGGGCCTAATTATATGACCAAGCCCGGCCGGGGTGCAGGACGGGCCGGGCTAGGCCGGGCTCGGGCTGGGCTTTTACTGTGTATTAACAAATTTTTTTAAGGCCCGAGCCCGAGCCCAACCCGACCATCGGGCCTACAACTTGGGCCCGAGCCCGGCCCTCATAAAAAGCCCGAGCCTAGGCCCGGGCCCAAAATTTAGTCTATACTATTACTATTATTAATGTTGAAGCGGCTGAATAGAGAGAGAGAGAGAGATTGAAATTATAAAGAAAAGAATAAAATATATATATATATATTAAATTATAAATATATATTTTAATAAATATTATATTATTTATATATTTTATAAAATATATAATACTGAGTCGGTCCGGGCCAAGCTCGGGCCAGGCTTTTTTGACAAATCTCGAGCCCGGCCCGAAACACAATCGGACTTACTGTGTTAGGCCCGAGGTCAGACCAGTGGGCCTAATTATATGACCAAGCCTGGCCGGGGTATGGGCCAGGCCGGGCCGGGCCGTCGGGCTACCCGGCCCATGTACAGGTCTAATCACAACTATTCCTATCGGTCAGGTTGTCACATAGAAAGAACTCTGCTTTCTTGATTTATGTGCCTCCAAAACCAGAAGCTAGATTGCAATACAGGGTGCTAATCTTTACTTGTTTGTAGTCAAACTTGACCACCCATTAACCATTCTCTGTATTCTACCGGAAACAGTGACTATAGTTCCTCCACAAGTTGGCCTAATTGGCTCACTACTAACAAAATTCTTCGTTGGATTCCACCACACAACACCACTGCTTTCTGCATGCAACGTTGTCCATCATTATTAAGTCTTTGCATTGAATCGAAATAGATTTTCTTGCCCAAGTAGAAATATACCAGATGGTGGGAGGTCTTTATATTTCCAGCAAAATTGGTTGGATCATGTTACGCGCTCGGGCTTATGTAGCTGGTGGAGATGGTGGTCCAGCAAGTCCAGCTACTAAGACACTATATGCAGTGTACGGGTTTTGGGTATCTCGATCGAATTTTGTCTTAGAGTAGCTAAAGAGTGATTGAAATTTTAAAGATAATTCCCACAATCTGGTATAGAATTTTAGATTAAACTAGTATTCTTACGAGTGAGAAGGATTAATTAAGAACATGATAACTTGTGGCTTTTATTATATATAATTTCTTCATTGATGAGTTCTTGAGAAAACATTTTCAGATAAATTGGTAGTAAAAAACATCCATTTGGTAGGTTGATGGCACGGCTCAAGCAAGGAAAGCCACTACAGGTACAGAGAACTACTTATACTTGTCAAAAGAGATTATATTTGAAGATGAAATAAAAGATTTTACAAATTTAACAACTCCCAATGGGAAGTTGAAGCAAACAATGTTAAGGTGCCGAAGCTCTACTAAAGACCTGTCTGGGTATTAAGCTGAGATTTTTTTTTTTTTTGTAAGTGGTATTAAGCTGAGTTGAAGATATAAGCTCTAGTAATGTCAATTGCTTAGCTGCCTATCAGATAAGTGAGAGAAGTCACAATCTTGGTAATTATAAGGCACTCTGGATCTAGATAACCTATTCAATGAATAGCTAATTCACAATTGACTAATTTGTAGGAACAGAGCTAGGATTTTTCTTTTCTTTTCTTTTCTTTTTTTGGGAAATTGTCTAAAACTCACCATGAGTTTTTAGCCTTACACTTAAACTCACCACAACTTTTCAAAATGTCTAAAACTCCATCTCACTAAGTTTTTATTTTCCAAAACTCACCTTCTGTTAATGCACTGTTAATGATTCTTAACAGAGGTGTTCATGTCAGCATAAATAACAATTTTCATGACCAAATTACCCTTGAATAGCAAGTTAAAGGAAAAATGGTCTTTTCAGTTTTCAATTTTGTTGTTTTGTTTTGCATTTTTAGTGTTTTGTTATAATTTTCCATGTTTTTTATAATTTCTGTTTTTTACATTTTCTATTTTCAACAATCTATAAATTTTCCTGTATTTTTTGTTATTTATTTGTAATTTCTGTGTTTTTCTATAATTTTTAAGTTTTTATATTTTTTTTGTAATTTCTATGTTTTATGTATTTTATATTTGAAAATATTTTTTGAACTTTTTCCTTTTTTTCATGTCTAAATATTAAAATGGCAATATATTAACACCCATTAATTTATTTTGTATATATTTTATATTTTCTGTGAAGGTTAAAATAGTAATATATTAACACCCGTTAATTTATTTTGTATATATTTTATATTTTTCTATAAAGGTTAAAATGGTAATATATTAACACCCGTTAGTCTTTTTAACATCAAATTAGTGACATGGTGAATTTTAGATATTTTACAAAGTTATGGTGCGTTTATGAGAAATGTTAATTTCCCTTTTTTTTTGTGTGTGTGGAGAGAAACGATAAACTAAACATCAGCAGGAAAGGGGGCAAATAAAGATTGATAAAGGTCTTAGGTGTGTGGAGCTAGTATGTTTGACGCTCAGGAATCCCATGGAGGTTCAGTGGATCTTCCTTATTCAGATTTCAGACGAGTGGTGCTAGCTCCTGCTGCCAATGACAGACTACACGTTGTGGACCTTGTGGTTCGACAATAATAGTTTTATCGTACATTCCCATTGTATTTGATTGGATAGACCCTCAATCACCAACCTTTTATCCTTTTGAAAAGATGTTTCAGGGGGGCTTAACCATCACCATCGTAGCTTTGTCCCTTCTAATGTTAAGGCCATTAATCTTTTCCTCGAGCGAGAGGCAATTGGCTTGTGTTTACCTATTTATACCTCGTTGCCATGGACGATATTATTGTGCACAAGATTAATGCAGCAGCAGAAAGATGCCTTCGCGAAGGCTTCGGAGGAAGCGGCAGTTCGTTACAGAACGGAAGTTGATGGAGCTTCGAAAGAAAATTGCTGTGAGTGAGCAAATGGAGGAAGAAACATTGTTCAAGGTTACCATGGAGAAAATCCTCGTTTTAGAATTGCAAGTAGATATTCTCAAGAGTCTTTTAGAGATCTACGGAGACTAACGAGAAACACTCCTTCCCATCTCAATAATGTGGGCAGTAAGTCAAGAAGCAGAATTTCGTTTTTCCTTAATATATGTGAACGTGTGTTTGAGGAATCATTTCCTCTCATGTTCTCCTGTGATGATCTTAATTAATTTGTTCTTTGTTTTCGTTTCCTTCTTGTTATCATTATTTTTTTTTTTTTGACAACCCCAAAACTAAAGGAATTGAAGGGTCTCGTGTGGTCCTAATCGTGGATTTCGTCCAAGACCAAACCAAGAAAGTAAAAGTGTTGTGGGAAGGTAGGGGACCAATAGTAAAATAAATTTATTATAAGAAACAACAGGAGAATATAATTGGTAAGGCCAATAAATTCTTGGGTTAAGTACATCCAGTTCAATGCAGAATTCTGAATGACAACCCCCCATAGTCTACTTGTAACCCCCCTTATAAACTGCATCCTGTTCATGGATTTGGCATCAATCCACGGTCAAGATTCATCC